AAGGTTTAAAGAGAAACTTTTCAATTACTTGATAACAAGCAAAGAAATTGTTTTTAAAAACGTCCTAACTGTTCTTTGTATAATCAAATTAATTACCTGCTGGAAGTAACCCTAAGGAATGAAAAACCCAAAGAAATGAAATTTGGAAGATGGGTGTGTTTTACTTTGCAGAATTTGGGAAACTAAAATTTGTATATCATACCATTGAAACATATTTAGGATTTCAATTGGCTTCTGATTTTTGTTCTGAAAAGGCTGATTCAGGAATTACACATTTGTTGAGAGTGATTGCTATCATGGGGATACCTTTAAAAATCCAGACTGTTAATGCTCCTGCATGTGTTTCCAATAAAATGAAATGTGTTTTTTGTATATTATAACTTAAAACTTATTACAAGTATACAATGCAATCCAACAGGTCAAGCAATTACAGAAAGATCTAATTATACCTTAAAGGAGATGCTTAATAAACAGAAAGGAAGAATAAGAACCCCAAGAAATAGACGGAATTCCAATGAAGCAGGAACAAAAGCTACTGAAAGGCACTGGAGTGTAGAAAAAACTGTTGAATTATAGCAACCTGTATACTTTAAAGATGTTTTAACATCAGAATGGAAATTATGGAATGTGTTACATTGGGGAAGTTACCTATACTTCCATTAGTGATGAAACACTATGGGTTCCATCAAAATTCATAAAGATATGATCCAAATAAGAAAAGCTTCCACATGAAAGGCAGGACTCAAGAAAACTGATCCCTCTTGAACAGGATCAGCTCGACAAACTGGCTGAAAAAAGACAGACCATTCATCAGACTGGAAGACTGGAAAACCTTGGTGCTGAAATGGACATTTGCTCAAGAACAGATAATCAGGACTGAAGTTATGAAGGACCATTGCATCAACAGATCTTCACAAGGACATTCAGACTGTTATGTTTATGTGATTGATCTTGTTTCCGTTGTAACACTTAAACTCTGTACAATTTTTAGCTTAAACAAAAAGGTGAGAGATGTAGAGGAATTTTAATCCAGAAACATGGCTACTCTGGCAAGGGATCACATCCAAAGACCTAGGTCTGTGTGATCAGGCTGTAATACAGGCATACCCTTAGTGCATACCTTTAATCTCTCTGAATGGAATACACACTCTTAATTCCTCTGGCTGGAATACAGATACTACACACCTTTAATCCTGGTTTCTGGAAATTAGCACACACTTTTAATCAATGATATCTAATTGAGGGGCAGACAAAGTGATGAATCAAAGAAAGACTTGACATAATGAGTCAGAGATAGGATATGCCCAACTTTCATGAGAACAGATGGAAAATAGAAGCTACTTAAGAGCAGCACAGAAAGCAAAAAAACAGGGTTCAAGAGTATAGTACAGTTTGATGCAGTTCAGTTGAGTACAATTAGGTTTTTTCCAAGATGGTTTTTCCAAGCAGAGCAATTCAGTGAGAAGCAGAAAGAAACTGATTTGAATCAGTCAGCTTGGAGAGGAGTTTGGGGCCAGAACAACTGAGTTGAACCAGCCATTCAGAATTCAGAAAGAACTAGAGAGAGTGAACTTATTCAGCAGTAAGTCTCAGTGTCTGAAAACATTCTAGCAAATGGAGGCTGAAGTTACAGTCTTCAAGGTCCAGGCTTGTAGAATATTAGATTGGACAGAGGCTAGAAGCTTCCAGGCCTAGAGATAGGGATAGTTAGATAGAAATGATCTGAGATCAGCACAGGCCATGTATTTGAAAATCTTGGGTATGGCTCTCATCTCATCCCACCATCTGAGGAAATAAAAACATTTTAAAAACAACATTTACAGAGCTACATAACTGAGGTGCAAGCAAATGATGGTGGAAGTTACACTGTAAATTGCAAAATATAATGGGGAAATTCTGTGCTGGATGAAAGAAAAATTCCACTTATAATAGTTCAAGATTCAAAACACATATATAAAAGGTAACTATGGAACATTAGACCGAGAGCATATTACAGAGTATAGTGTCATTATCACAGTGGACAAATGTAATCTGTCCCATTCTTCCAGCAGAAAGTTTATTCTGTAAATCTCAGACATTTGTGTCAACACTTAGTTTTCTACCAGGCCTCCTGTGGTTCATATAACTAAGAACAATCCTCTTCTAGAGCCTCCATCATAGATGTAACTCCTTCAAATACTGATTTGGGACCTTTCACCCATGTAGCCTACTCCATCTTGGCCAGTGACGTAGAGCTATGGTCATTATCCTATATGTCCCAAGTGGGGTTCATACAACCATAAGAAACTACACTCTTTCAAGCAGACACTGAAGTCTCGCATTCAGGATTCTCCAGCCCTCAATGCCAAGATGGGCATGTGCATGCTAGCAGGAAACCTCAGTGACAGCACCCAACATTTGCTGAACTCTTGCTGGGGCACAACAGTCCTGAGCTCCTCTATGTTATACTGACCACCACAATGAGTCTCGTTACCTAATCACCAGAGTAGCAGTGGTAGGCATGGACTCTGAACACATTGCCTGCCACTCCTGCCTTGTGGGACTCTACAGCCTAGGATTTCTCATGGGAGACATTGTATTGGACATACTTTGAGTGACAAAATGAAGTCTATCATCCTCTCTGGCTGTTATGAAAAATGAAGGTTGGCTAGCTTGTCCAGTCTCTGCTACACTGTGTGTAATCTTTACAGACAGCTTGCAAGAGATGCCTCTGGACCTAGAGTTATTACCCAGTCCTCTCTGAACCTTAGACAAGCTCCAGATTTACCTGGTGATTGATCTTTGTGCTCTTTCTCCTTAACATGGTTGTGGCTATTGCCCTGTATCTGTGACAGTCCTCTAGGCATGACACTGGAGTCTGTTTTGAGCTTGATCTCTGTTCCAAGGCTGCATAGGAGTTTTTCCTTTTCCCCAACTATGACAAAAGAATTTTGCCATATTCCTCTAATAGATTGGATGAAATTCCTAATGCTCTTAAGCCACTGAGTTTAATTTTCTTAGTACAAAGCCCAAAGATGTTCTTCCACAAGATCTATGTGTTGAAACTTTTTGGGCTGAAAGTGCCAGCCATTAAAGACAACCCAAACATGACTTTGATTCAATAAACTTGCAAATGGTTCCATCCATTCTTTTTTATGTGTAGTTAGGGGGAAACTCATTAACTTAGAGGTGAAACACTGCAGATCAAGTATTCCTTGATTGTTGTATTATATTAATTTTTCTGGGCATGGAGCATACAGTACGGAAACTGTTTTAAGTGTGTCTGTGTTGCAATTGCTGTTCTGTAGAAATGGTCATAAATCTTTGTTAATTCTAAAGCAATACAACTAAAACATTTCAGCAAAGTAGCATACAACACTGTCGTTTATTACACGTCATCTACCTTCTTCATAATGCTTGGTACTGAATTCAAGGCTTCAACACCCTAAACAAGCACGTTAACCCTGGGTTACATTGCTGTCTTGGTCCCTGTTCTGTTGCTGTGAAGAGACACCATGACTATGGCAAGAGGTTTAGTCCATTGTCATTATGGCGGGTAGCAGAGTAGCATGAAGTCAGACATGGCATTCAAGTTGTAGCTGAGGGTTATCTCTGGACCCACAGGCAACAGGAAGAGACATACTCTGGGACTGGCTTGGGATTTTGAAACTCCAAAGCCCACCCCCAGTGACACACTTCCTCCAAGGCCATGCCTACTACAACAGGGCCACACCTCCTAATCCTTTTAAATCATGCCACTCCCTAAGAAATCAAATATATAAGCCTATCGGGGGGGCATTCTTATTCAAACCACTACAATTCCTAACCCCAGACATTATCTCCTGAATTAAACACAACTCCATAAAATTAAACGATCCACTTACGTTGAGTGTAGCCAATCACAAATATCCTGTGTACAACACAATAAATAAATGTATTAAAATGTTTTATGTGGCATGGAAGACAAGTGCAAAAATAAGTTCTCTTTGGCAATCTAAAACTCATTGTTCAGTGTGAGTTTTGATACATGCAAAAAGGAAGATGACACACAAAATAACTCAGAAGGACGGTGGCATGGATGATGGGGCTTGTCTTGAACATGAGGTCTGAGTTGAAGATGCCTGTGAATGATTGCTTGTTTCTATGTGGCACTGGCATATCCTGTGTACAGATTAGTAGTCTGAGAGGATGAATGAATAGGATCTGAATTTGTAACAGATGTGGAGTGTCAACACATGAGAGGCAGATCTGCCTTAAAATGCTTCCTAAAGTGAGTTGCTTAAAGGCATTGCCAGAGATCTCCGATGGAGAACGTTTCGGTTATCATGATTATGTGTCTTCAATTCTAGGAGATATAATAGAATTATGGTCTGATATCATAACTGGATTAAGCATCTTTCTTTGAGAAAGGGCTATCTTCAGGGATCTTGAACTTGAGTCACCTTGATGGACAGTTAAGGAATCATATGTGGAATCCCTTAAATAAAAGTGCATTGCCGTTACAATGAAAAAAAATGTTTTATGTACCCCATACATTTCTCTTCCTTTACATTTTTTAAACGCATACACAAATGTAGCCTTGTTACAGCCGTTCTTTAATTGTTAATAGAAACAAGAAATGACATCTAAAAATGGCAGCTCTTCTACTTGCTGAGACTGTCACAGATTCGTTCACAATGTGTTTGTGATTATCGATGGCCTTACCGAAAACGGGCAAATGCAGGTGACGATCCAAGAGTTCCAGAAAAGTGTGATGCCATTTCTGTTGTACAGGATTCTAAGAGATAGTGCCACAAAATAAGAATTTTTCAGAGAACACCTAAGGTCATTTGAAATCGAGCATATTGTTCTGTTTCGTTCACTCTCTTATTGCGAGAAATAAAAATGCCATAAGTGCAAATTTAAGAGAAATAAAATCCCCTACCAGTTTCACAAAACGGGTGCAGTGCGAAATTAAGACTCTAAGTGTCGCTGTTCCCTAACCCAAGCAAGAAAATCAATGGGAACAGGGTTGTGTCCGGATGAGACTCCAAAGCTGTGCAGAAATTCTAACCTGAAATGGTTCTCAACCGGTCTCTGTCCATTTAAGGACGTTGACCTCTAATTCTGTGGATTACCAAGTGGGGCAGGGCTGTTCTTCCTACCAGCCACCGCTGGAAAGTCTTTTAAGAAGCCAGTCATGGCGGCTCTGCAAAGGCGCGCGCCCTGCTACGAGCTGCTCCTGCTTTTCAATCTGTTGTGGTGGTGGGGCTCCGAAGCTGGGCAGCTCCGCTACTCTATTCCCGAGGAGCTGGACAAAGGCTCCTTCGTGGGCAGCATCGCCAAAGACCTGGGGCTGGAGCCCCGCCAGCTGGCGGAGCGCGGGGTCCGCATCGTCTCCAGAGGTAGGTCGCAGCTTTTCTCCCTGAACCCGCGGAACGGCAGCTTGGTCACCGCGGGCAGGATCGACCGGGAGGAGCTGTGCGCCCAGAGCGCACCCTGTCTAGTGAGCTTTAACATCCTTGTGGAGGATAAGCTAAATCTTTATCCTGTGGAAGTAGAAATAGTGGACATTAATGACAACGCGCCCCGATTCTTAAAGGAAGAAATGGAATTGAAAATTCTTGAAAACGCAGCTCCGTCCTCTCGTTTTCTGCTAATGGGTGTCTATGACCCTGATGTGGGCGTGAACTCCATTCAGAGCTTCAAGCTCAACAGTAATAGTCACTTCTCAGTGCATGTGAAAAGCCAAGCGCATGGGCCCAAGTACCCGGAGCTGGTCTTGGAGCACGCCCTGGACAGGGAAGGAGAAGCATTTCACCATCTGGTCCTTGTTGCCCTGGATGGCGGTGACCCTGTCCGAACAGGCGTGGCACGAATTCTCGTAACTGTCCTAGATGTGAATGACAATGCTCCAGTATTTTCTCAGCCTGTCTATCGTGTGAGTGTTCCTGAAAATCTGCCCGTGGGCACACGGGTGTTAACAGTTAATGCCACTGACCAGGATGAAGGGGTCCATGCAGAAATAAGGTACTCCTTTGTAACAATCACAAAAGAGATATCGCATATTTTCTCCCTGGATACTTCAACCGGAGAAATTTCCACTTCTGAAACTCTAGACTATGAGGATTCGAAGTTTTACGAGCTGGATGTTGAAGCCCGGGATCAGCCGGGCCTTCAAGACCGAGCAAAGGTCTTAATCACCGTCTTGGATGTGAACGACAATGCGCCAGAAGTGGTTGTTACATCTGGTAGCAGAGCAATCCCTGAAAACGCGCCTCCGGGGACAGTGATTGCTCTTTTTCAGGTTTATGACAAAGACTCTGAACAGAACGGCCTGGTAACATGCTCCATCTCAGAAAGTCTCCCCTTTAAACTGGAAGAATCATTAGACAATTATTTTCGATTAGTGACAAATTCGGAACTGGATCGGGAGCAGGTACCCTCCTATAACATCACGGTGACAGCCACTGACAAAGGAATGCCACCTCTGTCCACAGCAAGGCTCATCTCCTTACATGTGGCAGACATTAATGACAACCCACCAGTTTTCACACGTTCATCCTACTCTGTTTATGTCCCTGAGAATAACGCTAAAGGCATCTCCATCTTCTCTTTAAACGCAGTGGACCCTGACAGTGAAGAGAATGCCGAAATCATCTACTCTCTAGCACAAGAAACCCTTCAGGGTACACCTCTATCCTCCTTCCTCTCTATCAACTCCAACACTGGTGTCCTGTATGCACTGTGCTCTTTTGACTATGAGCAGTTTAGAGACCTGAATCTACTAGTAACAGCCAATGACAGGGGGAAACCCCCACTCAGCAGCAACGTGTCATTAAACTTGTTTGTGCTGGACCAGAATGACAATACACCCGAGATCCTGTACCCCACCCTCCCCACTGACGGTTCCACTGGTGTGGAGCTGGCTCCCCGCTCTGCAGAGCCTGGATACCTGGTGACCAAGGTGGTGGCTGTGGACAAAGACTCAGGACAGAACGCCTGGCTGTCCTACCGCCTCATCAAGGCCAGCGAGCCGGGACTCTTCTCGGTGGGGCTGCACACAGGTGAGGTACGCACGGCCAGGGTCCTGCTAGACAGAGATTCGCTCAAGCAGAATCTGATTGTGGCTGTGCAGGACCACGGCCAGCCCCCTCTCTCAGCCACTGTGACACTCACTGTGGCTGTGGCCAGCAGCATTCCTGACATCCTGGCTGACTTGGGCAGCCTCGATATTCCACCCAAGTCTGATGATTCAAGCCTTACAATGTACCTGGTGGTGGCAGTGGCCACTGTTTCTTGCATCTTCTTCACTTTCGTTATGGGACTGCTTGTGCTCAGGCTGTGCCACTGGCATAAGTCAAGATTGCTGAAGGCCACAAGGAAAGGCGTGTCAAATGTGGCCACTTCACACTTTGTGGGTATCGATGGGGTGCAGGCTTTTCTGCAGACCTATTCCCATGAGGTCTCCCTCACAGCAGACTCAAGAAAGAGCCACCTGATCTTTCCCCAGCCCAACTATGCTCACACGCTCATCAGTCAGGAGGGCTGTGAGAAAAACGAGCCTTTATTGATACAGGAAGATCTAACATTTTGTAAGGACGAAGATGCTCTTGATCAGGTAAGGTCATTGCTTTTATTTAAAACAAACAAACAAACAAACATGAAGTGGTAATGCTCTCTTTGAACATTGATAAAGTTTTCTTTCTCTGTTTCAATGAATCATATTTGTCATTGTTCATATATGAAATGTCCCCCAGGGATCCCAGGCTTGGTCTCCAATAAAAGTGATCAACAGTGAGCTTTTGAAAAGGTATTATACTGTAAGGATCTCGATCTCATCAGTAGATCCATCCATTGTTGGGTTCATAATTGGATGGACTATTGGGAAGTGATGAAAACTGTGGAAGTGGGTCCCAGTAGAAGGAAGTGGTTGCTTGGAGACACAACCTTGAAGGGGGTACATTATGCCTGTGGTAGAACAGCCTTGTCTACCACATGTTCCTCCTGTGGTGTTCAACCTCGCTGCAGCCTAAGAGCATCAGAGCCAGGGTACCAGGAACAGAACCTCTGAACCTGGGAGTCAGAACAAGCCCTTCTCCCTCTCAGACTGATTTGTTCAAGATGCTTTTGTCACGGCAATGAAAATGCAACTAAAACAATATAATTCTGAGGTTTTTCCTTTTTATCAACAGATTCATAAGTCTCTTTTATTGATTGTATAATGAGAAAATTCTTATTTCACACTCTATATTTGTTTAGCTCTTTCTTCTGTACCTTTGATTTTTTATGTCCCATTTCCAGGGGATTTTTTTTTTCTGTTGTAGGACAGTTAGGCAATTTCTGTTCTAAGCTTTAAAATGGAATTAAAGCCTCTGCTATGTACAATTAAGGTCTTAATATTCCATTTTCCTCAATATTACCTAACAGTTGCATGTGTCTTCCAAAATGGTGGTGATTCTCATCACATGAAAGTTATTTCCCTTTTTTTTTTTTTTTTTTTTTTAGACAGGGTCTCTCTTATCCCAAGCTTGTCTTGAATTTGTCATCCTCTTGCCTCTGCCTCAGGGGTGGGCACTATCACACCTGGTTTATGCTGTGCTGAGAATCAAACCTAGGCCTCTGTAATGCTAGGCAAGCACTCTACAATTGTTACCAGTTCTCAGTGAAAGTTATGTGCATCTTGACTTTATCTCTGCATCTTGGTTGTTTCTTCCCATTTTTGCCCTTTTCCTGTCCTTCTTGGTGAAAGTTGGCTTTCTGTTCCAGAATCTTTTTGTGACCTTTATCTAATTTTGGCTTGATGATAAGCCATTTGCTGGGCTAAGTGCCCAGTGGACCATGTGCCATTATCATTTTCTTGCTTTACATGTTTGGTATAGATGCCATCTAAAGCTGGTTCACTTTGCCGATCTTTCATCCTTTATTATGTCATCCTTTCTCAAGAACATGGTTTGAATATTACATATTTGTCTCAGTTCTTTGAAAAAAAGTGAAAACACTTCCAAATGTTAGACAGTGCATTGAAATGCCCTTTATGGTTCTTTCTTCGGTCAGAGGTAACAAATGGAATGAGGTTCATTTTGGCTGCTGCTGCTTCAATGATAGCAGTGAAACAGCCTTCTGTACTTCTTATGAACTTAATTTTAGAAAGTCATTGGTGCCTTTGGAAGGGACTGTCTAATCTTTGGTGCTTAAAAAACTTGAAAAAATATTCTTAGAACCATTTGTCACTCATTTGAGCCAGTGAAAATCTCTGTGGTCTTCCAATTGATACTAAACTTTTTAAACCTTAGTTTTTCTATCTCACACAATTCTAAGAAGATGAAATAATACAACTTTGTGAAATATTTTTCCAACAATAAAGTAGTATAGTACTTGGTAGATTTTAATATGGACTCACTTATAGGAAATATCTCTAAAAATAACAGACTGACTAATGAATTGGAGGATGGAGGCTTAACAGGGTACAAATGAAAATTTACATAATTTATCATTTAAAGAAAATAAGTAGCTGTCATATAGGAACTCTACATTTAATACATAGGAACTCAGTATCCAAGCATTTGAAGGAAATGAAGATCACCATTTAGAGGAACTGGTTTTATTCTGTATGACTGAGGATACAAAAAAAATGTTGTGGATTACCAAGCAAACAACGGTGGTATTTTTAATTGTCAAAGGCATAACAAGAAAGAGATGCCTAATGTGGTGGGAGAGTCTATGAGTGGCTCTTCTCAAAGTAAGCTGATGATAATTGGGTAGGTGTGGTGGTACACATTTGAATTCCAGAACTCAGAAGTCTGAAGCTAGCCCGGCTACATAGCGGGAAGCTGCCTTCAAATGGGAAGGGGTAGACCTGATAGCCAAGGAATTCACAAAATTTAGAAGGTCTGAAAATTTCCAGAGTTATTGAACAATTAAATTGTTTCTGAGTTAGAAGATTCAATGGTCTGACACTAGAATTGCTGGCTACTTATATACCGGAATTTAGTGTGCATGTGTAATAAAAGCCTTACTTAGAATACATATTGAAAATGTATGAGGCTTCCTTTGTAACCCGTAACCCGATGTTGACAGTAATAATAATAAAAATAAGTTAAGAGGCTGAAAATCCAAGTCTATGGAACAGTACTTGGCAACTATGCATAAAGCCCCAGTGTCAGTCTTCAGCACTATTAAAAAACAAAAACAAAAAAAAAAAAAAAAACCAATGATCTTGCTTTGCATGGCTGAAGCCCTTGGTTTAAACACTAGAACAGAGAAGGAAACCAAGAGGGAGGGAGAAAGACTGGGAAGAGGAAAAAAATAAAAATGGATAAGAAAAGGGAAAGAGAAAAAAGGGAAAAGAAAAACAAGACTATTGGGGTGTTTTTGTTTTGTTTTGTTTTGTTTTGTTTTGTTTTGTTGACAAGATCTTGTTATGCAGCACAGTGTGGTCTATAACTCCTTGTGTGGCCCAGGCTGGCCTTAAACTTTTGATCCTCCTGCCTCTACCTTTCAAGTGCTAGACTACCACCATACCTGACCAATTTTGCTTTTAAATAAGAAGCTAGGAGTAATACATGTTTTCCTAAGCCAATATTGTGTCACTTACATTTCTATAGTTGTTATAAAAGTGTTCATTTCCAATCATGAATTTTCAAATCTGATTTGTTTGAACACTGATGATATGATTCTTTTCTTTTGTTTTAATTCAATGTTAATTTTAAACATTTTAGGTCCTATGTAGTAGTGTGAATTTAATGGCATTCTACACAAAAATGATTGTTTTATAAGCTCTGAGATGATAAGAGCCATTTTACCGTATCACCAATCTTGAGTGATTATAAACTGCATCTTGAACATATGTCAGCATTGCCAAAGCTAGCTAATTGGGTTTCATGGGTAAATGCCTAGTTTATTTTAGTCTTTCATCTGAGTTTCCTGTAACCATTTAATTTGAATAAATAAAATATTTACTGTAGAAAACTTGCAGAACTTATCAACTATTAAACATATGAAAATCATGGACTAAAGGAAATGTTTTGATCAACCTACCATACAAATAATTGTACCAAGCTAAGCCGTCAGAGGGTTTGCCATATACTGAATTTTGACTCTTCGTGGAAACAAATTCACAGGGTCGCCTGGCTGATGTGCCATCTGCACAAAACACCCATTTCTGATAAAACAATGTCGAGAGGACAGTTGTCAGAGGAAAGAATAAACTAGCAGAAAGAGTCATTGTAAAACACCTACATTTTTTTTTTTACAAGAAGTAAACTAAACAGAGCTCCAAATAAATGGTTCATCAACAGAGAATGTAAAATGTTATATGGAAATATGTTTGCAGTATAGATTTACAATATAGATTTAAATAACGTTTAAAATGTGAATTTGTGCTCAAGAGAGTAACTTCAACATTGCTTCCTGAAAGAGGTTGTCTTAAACGTATTTGGATTTATCAAATACTCAATGCCTTAAAATGTATCTTTAATGTATCCGTGGTGTTTGGAGTGAAGAAATTTAAGCAAACGGAAACTTTGAAGAATTAAACAGCTTTCTGTAAAATCAGTTCATTTTGCTTCAAGACGGTGCAGTAACTCAGTGAGGACTCTGCGTGCCGCTGTTCACCAGCCTGGAGAAGGTGGTGCGGGAGCTCAGAACCACCGAGTTTACAACACAAAGGACAGCCTGAGACAAGCCCTCCTCCAAGCTGCACCAAACTCAAGCCTTTATTCGGCTGCCTTCCCGGCTTCTCTTCCCCACGCTGGGGGTCTGGGTAGACGCACCTGGGTTCTGAAACACATTCCGAGACCTCTCAGGGTCTGAAGAAGACCCGCAGGACAGCAATGGCGCCTGGACAGAGGGGCGCGGACTACAGAGGATTCCTGCTGCTCGCTGTCCTCCTGGGGACGCAGTGGGAGGCCTGGGCAGGACAGATCCTCTACTCCGTGTCTGAAGAGACAGACAAGGGGTCTTTTGTGGGAAATATCACCAAGGACCTGGGACTGCAGCCTCGGGAGCTGGCGGAGCGCGGAGTCCGCATCATCTCCAAAGGTAAGAGCCAGCTTTTCTCCCTGAATCCGCGGAGCGGCAGCCTGGTCACCGCGGGCAGGATAGACCGGGAGGAGCTGTGCGCTCAGAGCCCGCGGTGTCTCGTGAGCTTTAACATCTTGATAGAAGACAAAATGAACCTTTACCCTATAGAAGTGGAAATAATGGATATTAATGACAACGCTCCCAGATTCTTAACGGAAGAAATAATCATAAAAGTAATGGAGAATGCAGCTCCTGGGGTGCGGTTTCCATTAAAGGAAGCAACAGATTCGGACGTGGGCACGAACTCCCTCCAGAGATACCAGCTCAGCCCCAGTCACCACTTCTCCCTGGTTGTGCAAAGTGGAGATGATGGAACTAAGTACCCAGAACTGGTGCTGGAGAAGGTTCTGGATCGAGAAGAAGAGGGGGTTCACCATCTGGTTCTCACGGCCTATGATGGCGGGGACCCACCCCGATCTGGCACCGCTAGCATCCGCGTGACCGTGGTGGATGTGAATGATCACGTGCCAGTCTTCTCTCTGCCCCGGTACCAAGCAACAGTCCCTGAGAACGTGCCAGTGGGTACAAGACTTCTCACAGTAAATGCTATCGACCTGGATGAGGGAGTCTATGGGGAAGTGACTTACTCTTTCTGGAAAATTACCCCAGAACTTCTACAGATATTCCATCTGGGCTCCCTTACAGGAGAACTGTCGACTTTAAAAGGTCTAGATTATGAAGAATCCAGCTTCTATGAACTGGAAGTTCAGGCTCAAGATGGTGCTGGTAGTCTGGCCAAGGCAAAAGTGCTGATCACGATTTTAGATGTGAATGACAACGCCCCAGAAGTGACTGTCACATCTGTGAGCAGCCCAGTCCCTGAAGATACACCACCTGGGACAGTGGTCACTCTCTTCTACCTCCAAGACAAAGATTCGGGGCAGAACGGTGAGGTGACCTGCTCTTTTCCTGAAAACCTGCCTTTTAAATTAGAGCGCTCAATTGATAATTATTACAGGTTGGTGACAGCGCAAAATCTGGACCGGGAAAAGGTGTCTGTGTACAACATCACATTGAAAGCCACAGATGGTGGAATCCCTCCCCTGTCCACAGAAACTCACATATCCATTCACGTGTCAGACACCAACGACAACCCACCCACCTTCTCGGACTCCTCTTACTCCATCTATATCCCTGAGAACAATCCCAGAGGAGCCTCCATCTTCTCCGTGACTGCACAAGACCCCGACAGTGACAAGAATGCCCAAGTCACTTACGCTCTAGCCGAGGACACCATCCAGGGGGTACCAGTGTCGTCCTATATCTCCATCAACTCTGACACTGGTGTCCTATATGCACTTGGATCCTTTGACTATGAGCAGTTTCGGAATCTACAGCTAAGAGTGACTGCACGAGACAGCGGGGACCCACCTCTCAGCAGTAATGTGTCACTGAACCTCTTTGTGCTGGACAGGAATGATAATGCCCCTGAGATCCTGTACCCTGCCCTCCCCACTGATGGTTCCACGGGGGTGGAGCTGGCTCCTCGCTCTGCAGAGCCTGGATATCTGGTGACCAAGGTGGTGGCTGTGGACAAAGACTCGGGCCCGAATGCTTGGCTGTCCTACCGCCTGCTCAAGGCCAGTGAGCCAGGGCTCTTCTCAGTAGGTCTACACACAGGCGAGGTGCGCACAGCAAGGGCCCTTCTGGACAGAGATGCACTGAAACAGAACCTTGTGGTAGCTGTGCAGGACCACGGCCAACCCCCACTCTCGGCCACTGTGACACTCACTGTGGCTGTGGCCAACAGCATTCCTGATGTTCTGGCAGACCTAGGCAGCATCAGGACCCCCAGTGAACCTGATGATTCAGACATCACTCTCTACCTGGTGGTGGCCGTGGCCACTGTTTCCTGTGTTTTCCTTGTCTTTGTCACTGTGCTAGTGGCTCTCAGACTGTGGCGTTGGCACAAGTCACACGTGCTACAGGCTTCAGGTGGTGGGCTGGAAGACATCCCTGCCTCACACTTTGTAGGTTTAGATGGGGTCCAGGCTTTCCTACAATCATATTCCCATGAGGTTTCACTCACTGCCGACTCTCGAAAGAGCCACATTATCTTCCCGCAGCCCAACTACGTGGATACACTTATCAGCCAAGACAGCTGTGAGAAAAGTGATTCTTTGTTAACATCCATAGATTTTCAAGAATGTAAGGGTGAAAACCCAAGTATTCAGGTGAGTTCATTTCGTTACTTTTCCTGTATGCCGCGTGTGTGCACATTGCTCTCGTGATGTCAGGTATCTGCTCCTATTGCTTTCCACCTTGTATATTGAGGAAGTGTCTCTTATTGAAACCCAGAGGGGGCCAATTTGATTAATGTGGCTAGTCAGCTTGTTCTGGGATCCCCCATCTCCATCACTTGTGCTCTGAGACCACAGGTGGTCCACCATGCCTACCTGGTATTTACATAGGTGCTGGAAATCCAAACTGTGACTCTCACACTTTCAAGTCTATCAGTTTATCTATGATCCATCTCCAGAAGACCCTTTTCTTTTATCTATTGCTGGGGAGGCAGACTTTCCCAGTATGTTGCTGACAGGATGGATGGCAGAGGAGGGGGGGGGTGAGTCAGACATGATGGTCAGGGGAATCTTGCAGTCAGGTGCTTCTTATTTATACAGGTTTCACAGAACAAAGACAGACTAATGATTATCCAAGAGATGCAGATTATGCATTTGATTTTGTATTACATGTCCAGGGTTACAAGTTCAGTCACATTTAAAAAATATAGAACAAAATTTTATTTTTATTATCAACCCTATAACTCCAATTTAAAGAATTTAAAGAATGTCTCCTCCAAAGCAAACACTTTTACTATATGATAGGCTGCTTTTAGGCTGGCAGTGTTTGCAGTTTTAAAGCACTTCAGACAAACAAAAAAATATCTGAACCGGTCTTTTTATGAATAACAAATACTAATACCTAACTCCTTTTATTATATTGTTTCATCATTACACTATTAAATAGGAAAAGTTTAGTCAATCTATCTTATTTACTGAGTTCTATTCCTCCAGGGGATGTACCTTGTAAGGTCCCCTACCTTTAAACTACATTTTCAGATAGCTCTAAGTGTATTGTAAAGGGAGGCCTTGAATCTGTAACCTATTCTCCTAGCCAGTCAGTTTTTCAATTGTCTGTTTACTCTGCACCAAATATACTGTTTGAGTTTGCTCATGGGCAGATTCCCCAAGAAGATTCCTGGAGTATGGCCTCATCTAACTATGTGCTTACCTGTGTTTAATGATCTCCAGGGCATAAAAAAGACTTTCAAATAGAGCCAAGTAAAGTTAATTTTAGGATCTTCCTTAAAATACTCAGATATAGTTTTCTCAGGAAAGGACATAAAATGAATCATAATGCAAGAATGCAACACAGAGAGACCAAAATCCAAAAGTGAGAAATAGAATGACAGCAATTGCAGCATTTGGCTCAGCTTAGCTGCAACTATGTCAAAAGCTGTTCTGGCTTCATTAACACTCACTGTTTCTGATGGATATGGCTGTGCAAATCTTTTTTTTTTCACAAAAATTATATTTTTCATGAGCTGTGTATTATTTTAAAAAACAAGAACTAGGAAAATATAGATTTAAAAACAATAAAATGGTGTAGAAAAGTTTGCCATTTTATTACAGTGGCTGTACTTTAGTATGAAGTACATGGGTTATGATAGCTTTTAATTAAACCGTGCAGACAAGAATGAGAATAAATAGGGTAACACAATTTTCTGCTGCCTACCTACTTTCCACTTCTTTTTTCAATTCAAATATCATCTAAATGAAAATAAACTGTTCAGTCTTTCTCTTTGTTAGGAGTAGAGCATTCCTTAGTCACCTTCCCAGGGTTTTCCTTAGAATTCAAATCTATAAAAGAGACTTGATGATCTTTTTAATCTGGAGCCTTTCTCTGCTTTGCTTCTATCTCCATGTAACTCAATTTAGTAGCCTTTAAAAGCATGATTAGTTGCTCAGCTATGTAAACATAGGCATCTGCTACAGTTGGGTTGCTCATAGAACATTAGACAGATGCTTTGAAGGTGAAATGTGACTAGCTGGACAGATACTTTACTCAATAAAATGCTTCCTGCACAAGCATGAAAACCTGAGTTCAATTCTCAGTACTCATGAGTAAAATGTATGGTAGTGCATTTTTAATCCCAGTGCTGCGGAGACAAGCAGATCTCTGGGATTAATCTGGCCAGCCTAGTTTAACTGGTGAAACTCAAAGTCTCAGTGAGAGACTCTGACTCAAGAAAAAAAAAAAAAAGGTGGCTAGCTCTTGAGGAACAATGCTTGATATTTACTCTGATCTACACACACTCACACACACTTCGTACAAAAGAATGAAATGTATCAAGTATCACTGAGATATATATTTTTAAAGCAGACATGGTATAAAACACTACACTAAAATTAATTGGTCAAAATGGACAATATATGTCAAATAATACGAAGTTTCCAAGGTAGGTGTGATAGTTTTGCTTGTTATTGCAACAACACTCAGGAGACTAAAGTTCACAAAGTAAAATATTATTCCCTTGGTAATTTTAATATCGATGTTATAGTTTATAGTGAGAATAACTGTAATGGGAAGGGGTGGCCTAACTCTTCTGCCTGCATTATTTCTTTCCCTGAGATAGTGGAAATGAGAATCAGATAATACTACTATAAAGGAATTACTCAAATTTATTTATGGAAAATAAAATGAATTGGATGACGAGTATGAATCGCACCTTTGACAAACCACATTGCATCCAGTCATGGTAGTACACAGCTTCAACACCAGCTCATGAGAGAAAGAGGCAGGTGGATCTCTGTGATTCAAGGCCAGCCTGTTCTACACACTTCTAGGACAGCCAGGCTCTGTAGATAGACCCTATCTCAAAAGAAGAAAGAAAGAAGGAAAGAAAGAGAAAAGAAAGAAAGAGGAAGGAAAGAAAGAAAAAAAAGAAAGCAACAGAAAGAAAGAAGAAAAGAAAAGGAAGAAGAGGAGGAGAAGGAAGAAGAAAGGACATATTTCAACATTATTGACACTGTTAGAAAATAAAGTATGAAGTATATCAGACTGGATGTACCTAGAAAAAGATAAAACATTAGGAATAAGAAAGAATGAAAATTATCCTACTGTATTGATGCTGAATAAATATGCAATGTTATTGCTCCCTGATATTACTTAGGCCAAGACTGGATTACAGTCATGTTTGGCTCACTAGTGTATTAAAGATTAAAGCATGTTTATGTCAACAGATACTATGCCTTTAGATACACAATCCTAAACTTGTGATTTAAAAAAAACATTTCTGACAATATATTTTGAACGTTATTAGACATGGAAATAACTGAATAAAACTCTCAAACAGCAGAGGCTGCAGTTTCCTACTGTGGACTCTGGGCGCCGCTATTGGCCAGGCTGGAGAACCTGAGCATCTCCTCTCGCGCAGCCGCAGAGCGCTTTCCAAGGCTCCCTTTCTCAGCCTTCTTTGCCCCAAGGAAAAGAAGAATCGTTTCGTGGACTAGCACTGATAGCAAAGTCCATTAGGAGCCGGAATACACGCAGCACGGAGCTTCCTCGTAACCCGGAGTCTCCAGGCTGGTGAGCAAGCAGGGGGGAGCAAGAAGGATGAGGGAGGGCGCGGCCGAGAGGCGCCGGGAG